TAGTGTGGCTGCTGTGGAACGATGTTAGAGCTCCCCCTTGTGAGTTCTGGGAAGGTGGGGACAAAATTGGTTTGAGCCCTGTATTATGACTCTGATGCATCCTTCTGTAAACATATGACTGAATTTAAAAAGGGAGAAAAATCCAAATTGAAGCGCAGTAAAAAGTTATGGCTGTTACCTAACTGAAAGAGCACGACAGAGTAGGAAGATTTTCTTCCTTCCACCTGCAAACTAAACACACTACAATGTATTTTGGTTTCTATCCAAAGCAATCCCGCTAACGCAGATCCCCCCCCCCCATTCTCTGCTGAGTGTCTTTTCATACACACATGCTTCCCAGCATACGCAGTGAGCACAAACAAGGGGTTTTGGGCCTGCTGTAAAGTGATTACAGAGAGTTATCTTCAAGTGTTTAGAAAAGTGTATTCACATCTGTGAGCTGTCTGGCATTTTAAGACGCAGTCAAGATGAACAAACAGGTGGTATCATATCAACGCGAACAAGGGCTATAATGGTTCTGAAACCGAGATCGAAACTGCAATACAAATATTGACGGCTTAAGTCTCGGTTGAAATGTGGTCAGTTGTTGTTGTTGCTTCTCTAGCAGCCCACTAGGTCTGTAACATCAGAGGCCTACCTCACTGCAGACATGACTTGCCGTGGCAGGAGACATACGTAAGTGTGCTAATAACATTGATGTGAATGATGAAGTGTCCCAGTAGCCGTGACAGTGAGCAGCAACACCAGGACCATAAAAACAAAGCAGCTCGATGGAATTCAGCCATTATAAACTTCATTATTTACACCTATGCTTTTCTTACTGTGACATATAAAAATGTCCCCTGTGAAAAAGGCCTACTGTCAGATTTTATATAGACTGCGCTGTCTAATTAAAGCCCAACGTGTCCCGGGTCAGAAATACATGCACTCTTACTACACATGCTGAAAGTATTCACACAGTCAGGAACAATCTCTGCGCAATAAGCCTGTGACTCAAACATCCCGTACAATTATTAATTCTCATTGTTGAATACAGTTTCTTTTCGACACATACAACCATCGCTCAAAACAGATCTATGCATGCGTGCATACTGTATATACCGTCATATCCACCTACATAATGTATAGAAAATAACCTGACACACAAACTCTTATATACTTATTCACCCCTGCAGCCTTTGCACCATCGTCTGATGTGGTTTATACATCTGTACATAGTAGTTTGTTTGTTTGTTTACACTGTGGAGCTGTTTATTCTGCTCTTTACGTACATTGAGAGCAACATAAAACCCGAGTCATATTCCTTGTATGGGTGATTATACCGTCGAATAACAGTGATAGTGATGTGATAGTGAGGGTGAGGAGACAGACAGACAGACAGACAGACAGGCAGGCAGGCAGACAGACAGACAGACAGACAGACAGACAGACAGGCAGGCAGGCAGACAGACAGACAGACA